CCAGGTCCATCCCACTCGCCCTCCCTCCCCGCCATTGGTTTTTTAGGTCCCCGGAAATGATTTCAGGATGGAGAGAGGAGAGCAGATCGGAAAACGTCCGTTCTCCAATCTGCTCTGAATGATCAGTGAGAGAGGCGTGCTGTACTCACAGCCTTCCTGTCTCAGCTGTCACATGTGAGGCTGTAGAGAAGATCGAGCACAATGCTTAAGGACAACCTTCATAAAGAGAACCTGTCACCTCAAAAGCCCCTGTGTGATAGCAATAAAATTAAGTGAAAAAAAAAATAAAAAATGCTAAAAATAAAATAAAAATGAAAAAACTGTGTCATATTGTGGTAGCCGGGCAGCAGCGCTCTCTAACACACACAATGTGCATTAAAGGGTAAGTTCACTTTACCAAGTAATTTGGGAAAATTGAATCACCCGCTCAAATCTGGTCCCCTCCCCCCCATAGTTGCCTTTTGGCAAACAGTACTTCCCCTTCACCGGTATGGGTACACTATCCCATACTACCCTCCAGCGCAGCCTTCCGCTATGGATTTAAACTTTCGCTTGCGAGTTGACCAATGGTAAACGCTTCTTAGCGCGGTTAAATACGGTTTTGGTTACAATTAGTTTTTGTATCAGGACAAGTAGATTGTCATGAGGGAAAAGTAGATTCGGCCCCCGCTTTAGTCCTTGGGACAAGTCATTTAAAAAAAATGTCCACACCCGTGGTACATTAGTAAGACAAAGTTTTTAGAAAGATTGCAAGATGTTCCTATGTTTAAATCTTTAAATTCAATTCACAGATAAGGATCTTTTTTTAGCCACATGACTCATTTTTTAATTATATTGGACCCGGCTCCTGGATTGTTAGCTTTGTGAATTGAGCCTACTGTCAGCAATAACAGTAAACCTGTTGATAATAACTAATAGATATATTTTACATTTGGATGAACTCTTCCATTTGCATTGTTTGAGCATTCCCAAATACAACAGTCTTAACATGACACAAGATGAAAGATTTGTCTTGAGCGACCTGAGAAAAGTTGTTCATGTTGACGTATAGCCCTTTGGCTACCTCACATTTCCAAATACAGTTTGGAATGGTATCATGAACAGGATCTGCATGTGCATTACTGTACCGCTTCTCCCCAGTGCACAGAAGAGTCTAAGCAAGGAGGGGAAGAGACATCATGGCAGGTGCTGGAGAGATACAAGAGGCTATTGCAGGTAGCAGGAAGATTTGGAATGGTCCTGCATACAACCTCCTGATGGTATGCAGGCCCGGCGCTACCGCAAGGCAAGTCAGGCGGCCGCCTGAGGGCGCTGCAGGGTGAGGGCGGAAAAAACAGGGCATTTTGACAAGTACAAGTACCGGCGACTGCCAGAGGTGCCGCACGTGTCGAGATCCTCTGGCAGTCACCGGCCAGCTAAATTAGGACCCCACCTGGAGCTCCTCCCACCGGACCAGCGCTGACTCGCCGCTGCTCTCCCACACCGAAGGTAAGTAAAAAAAAACACGCTGATAGGGAGCAGGCCCAGCGCGACAGGGAGGAGGGGATAGGTTGCGGGGGGGGGGCGCACAAAAATTCAACTTTGCCTGTGTTGGCAAAGCACCGGCCCTGATGGTATGTGATACATTGCAAATAGCTGGGAATAGAATTATTGATACATTATTATACATACCCATGTGCACTTTCTTCATGTACTCAATCATTGCTACTTTGTTATCCCTCCAGTGCTGCTCCAGCAATGAATCATTTGGATATTTACAGCAAGAGAGCTCTAGAGTAATTTCTAAACATTGGCCAAAGACGTAGTTATAATCTTGCATGCCACCTATAATTATAAAGGAGGACATAGTTCAGATATTTACAACATGTAATTTATACATACACACACAAAACTCCCTGTTATCCGGCATTCCAGGTAAATGTAGTTTCTGGTTGCTTGATAGTTACTATTAAAAACAGATCTAACTAATACCATACCATAACAAACTCTGTATTGACTTCATATCAATATTGAAATACAGTGATCAAAAGCAAATTAAGACAAATAGACACACTCAGTATTAGTGCTGCAGTACGGGTGCTGTAATGCATTACTAGGAGTGATCACTAGGTGGCGCTTGTTCACAGACGATCGTTCCCAGGATAATACATGCCGCAGATCAGCAAAACAGTGAGTACACAGGATGGTTTGTTTTTTGCCGGTTAGATGAGAGTTCCAGTTAATTAAATACAGGATAACAGAGAATTTAGTGTGTGTGTGTGTGTGTTTATATATATATATATATATATATATATTCACATACATACATACTTACATATGTGGAGTAGGAGGCCTAAGGTCTAAATACGACTTATCTTTTTGCCTCTACTTCTACATAATGGAGGCAGGTAAATATTTCACCTTTACCACTTCACTACCGCCATACATTTTAGAACGGCGGAGGGTTGGACTTTTGTTTGTAAATGGCATTGCAGAAAACAACCTCGAGTGGCCAGTGTACCTGTTAACAGCTGTCATCTGAACTGTCATCTGTTGGAACCGATAAAATTGACATCTATGATACAGCTTTGATGCAAAGGTGTTCCTTTATTTCCTGAACTGAATCAGCGTGTGGCTGTTTGATACGCAAATGAGGACCATCAAAGGGTTCTTGGGGCTGGACACTGATGAATGAAGATCTGCCAGGACTGTCATGTCCTGGGGCAAGCCCGACCCCCTGCTGGTATTTACTGGACACACCTGTGTCAGCAAGGAAGCATACATGCTGGGATGGGGGCAGGGGCATATGATGGAACCTTCTTCCGGTGTGATCATCTGCACTAACCTAGCTCACCAGCAGGATCAATGGCAACCTTGGTGACCTCCTGGACAAAACAAGTTTTTCTGGACTCTACAATCAAGAAGAATGTGCTTCGTTGAGACCTGCTGGAGTGGAGTGTTCTGAGCACAGAGAAAAACCCATGGCATATGTGACGGAGAGTGTGAGAATGGTGTAGCTAGCTCAAGAATCCTGACCCCCTCCAATCCCCTCTCCAATTCCCTTAATTGTAATAAGAATGTATGTACTGTATATCCCTATTTGTAAATAAACCCAACACTTATTAACGATTCAGCTGTTCATCAGTAATTTAAAGTAATTTAAAGCAAATCAGAGCACATTCTACACATCAGAGGGTTCAGATCACAGACCCCATGTGCAGAGCTGATCAGCGTGGCTCTGTACTTTGCAATCACTGTGCTTGGTCATCAATTGTTCTAGTATTTACATCTGAAAGTCTTTCCCTTCCCTTTATAATGGAGAAAGTAGAATGTATCAACGAATGATGGAATCTATGGAAGGATGAGCAGCAGATGATTCATTTTGGGGGGGTTGTAATTGATTGTGGAATTTTACCCCCCTTCTCTACTGTACATCTGAATGTCACCGGTATATTAACCCTTCACCTCCCTTATCCTTCACATTGAACCCCCCCAATCTTCATCCTCCTACTGTATGTGACCTATATGTCAAACCCTTCGCCTCTTCCCTCCTCTGTATATGACCTGTACATTATGATACCCTGTAACTAGTGCATCATTACCAAGCTCCATGGTTTAACCACCTCAATATTAACATTTTTCTTCCTTTCCAAAACATTATAGAAAAAAATTAATTCACCTTGGGGTGTCTACTTAACAAAAAAGGGTAGGTTAGGGGGTGTAGTACTGTCCTTGCATTTTTATTTGATATGTTTTATAACATGCATTTGGCAACGGTGTTGCATGACCAAGTGATTGCCAAACTATCACTGCACTGAAAATGGAAAAATGACCAGGTAATGAAGAGGTATTACAGGCTGGAACTCAAGTGGTTAAAGTGCATCTGTGACCTGACAAAGAACATTAAAATATTTAATACAAATTCACCTCTATTTTTTTTTAAATCTATTAACTCAGTTTGCCTAACTGCACATGTGCAGTCCGCTTTCTCTCACTCCTAGAACGCTGAGCTCAGCCGCTGCTGTGAGAGAAAGCGGACTGCACATGATTGGTTAGGCAAACATTGTTCTCCTAACCAAGCACCCATTCATGAGGAGCTGGAGCTGCACATCCAATGGTTGGTCCATCATGCCATGTAAGCGGGATGGAGAGGGGGAGCTTGTAAGGGTCATCAATAATAAAAGTAAGCATCAATTTAAAAAAAATGGAAGGCAGCATTTAAAATAGATTGTAAGCTGTAATAGTAATGGATTTTTGAAAAGAAGAAAAAAACGTTAAGGTGAACTAACCCTTTAACAAGCAGTAAAAGAGCTCTAAAACAAGCCTCTACTGGACCTATTTAGCTGCAGGTACTGTGAAGTTCTACCACAGTAGTCCAACTCCATACAATGACCCTACAGCCGGTGTTCTATCAAAGATTGTGACTAGGTTGGAATGTGTGACCGGTCACGTGGTCACACATATTTTAACGTAATCACGCCCACTTTTGCGGCGGCGGAATATGTGACCGGCAAATGGTGAAGAATTCCAACGCTTTCTCAGCTGTTCCAGGGCACATCGGCATCGCAGATCGTATGTGCAGGAGAACCGATCTGCCTTGAAACAGCTGATTGGTCCTGAGATGTGACTTTGTGACTGTGATCTCACATTCCACAAAGTCGGATAGAAGTGACATTTCAGGACCGATCAGCTGTTTCAGAGCAGATCGGTTCTCCTGCACATACGATCTGCGATGCTGATCTGCCTTGGGGAACTAAAATTCCCCATTTGCCGGTCACATATTCCGCCGCCGCAAAAGTGGGCGTGATTACGTTAAAATACGCGTGACCACTTCACCGGTCACACATTCTAACGCAGTCACAAACTTTGATAGGTTTCAGTCAGTTTCTAAAAAGCGACAGCACCTGGTGTTTGTGTAATAAGATTCTGCTGTAATAAAATGTAGTAGGAAAAGAGGTAAGACGTCAGTGGATTTCTATAGATCTCTGTAAACAACAGTCTTTCTTCACCAGAGGAGCAAAGCCATAGAAGAAAACATGAAATGAGCCTAAAGCTAATGAACTACAAAAAAGTAAAACATTTTTAGTGCTGACCATAATAAATCAAGGAAATATGTACAAAACCACTATCCATTTCCTTTAACATGTTTGACAAATCCTTACAGTAGGTGACTGGAACAAATATATTTAATAGCAAGAAATAAAGAAATAGGAGCATGCCAAGGATTTACCTTCTACAGGATACCAACTGAAACCATTGGTGATGCCACCTGTAAAGTCAATTGAGGCACAATCATTGGGTTTGGACATCGTGGCATGATTATTGGAGTACGTTTCAGCTAGATACTTCAAAACATCAATATCTGGAGGAACTGTGTGATTAGAATACTGCAGTCAATAAAATATATTATCAGATAATAAGACACGTATAACACTCCTACCAGCTGTGCTGACTTTATTGCATTAAATATAGAAAATGTAAATTAGCCACTAGAGTACATTTCTCCTCCATGGAACCAGCAAGATCTTGCTTAGCTGATCCATTGCCTGGCTATTGGGCATGGTTGTGGCATGATTGCATGTCCTTGCCTTCTGACACTGAAATGGACAGGCAAACAACAGGAAAATGTCCATCAGAGGATGGTCAGGAGTAAAGTATTTTTTTAGGACTGATATAGTCCAGGAAGTGTGTAGTAGTGCCTATATGGAGTGCAGAGGTGCCATAAGACTCAACATGCTACAGCGGGACAAGAAATAACAGAACACCATAATGTTAAAACAAGGCACAAGACATGTGAGATTAAGATTAGTACAATGAGTGGGATTCTTTTTCTTCAGCAGGCTGTGCTACAAAATAACATACTTTTGCTGCTAGACTGTAACCAGTCTGACCATATATTTACCTTTCTCTAGGCTCTAAAGGTCCCTAATCTCAATGGGCTCATTGCTTCTGCCTGTTACTGTGAAGGAGGTAATCCGAATGAGAAGGACAATCACTGAGTTATGAAGATGTATCTGCCCTAGGCAATCCCTGATGCCTTTGTTCAGAGGTATAGTTTGGGAAGGTGATAAATATTTGGGACACCTTTCCAGAAGGTTTTCTACCTGCTGGGCTTTTGACTGGAGAGGATGGCTGGTTAAAGTGTCTCTCTTCTTGGGGCTTTTCTCAGCCTAAGACATGTGTCAAGGGCCCACGGACTTAGGCTGTAAGCTGGAGTGGATACCTGAAAATGACTGGGCCGGAAAAGGATCTTCTTGCTGAAGAGAGTCGCAGAGGAGCTAGGCTGAAGCTACTGTCAGCGCCCACCTTTCAAGGTAACTCTGACTGCTATCAGACAACCAAGGGGCAACCTGATTAGAGAAAGATCAACTGCAATGTAAAGGACAAACTGTGAGGTTGATTCACTAAAAGCAAATAGGCTATTTACTTTGCAAAGGTATTTGCACGCTGCAAGGGAATTTTACATTAGATTAGTGAATACGGTGAATATTCACTATGCAAAGAACACCCAATCATGTGCAAGGAAAACAAAAGAAAACTGTATTTTTGCTTGCACTTGATTGGATGATGGAAGTCAGCAGAGCTTCACCTCATTCACTAACCTAAAGGAAAATGTATTTGCAAAGGAAATAGCCTCTATGATTTGAGTCAATCAACCTCTGTGACTGCTCTTACAAGGTCATAGATCTATCTGGCTGCTTATTTACCAAGAGGCTGCTCTTAAAGAGCCTTGCTACCACTGCTACTTCAAAGTATCTGACCTCAATTGGGAATCCTGCACCTCTACACCCTTTCTCCTGATTTGAAATCAGCAATTAAAGGTAAAAAGTGACTGGTGCCCAACTTATTTTCCGCTTTACCAAGGACCAGGCCCTGAGACGGGTATGATAGGCTAAATATGAAGAAGTCACTCGCACTCCAGCTCAAGTTCAGTCAATATTTTATTGACCTCTGTGGTGTCACAACATGGCGACGTCTGCCTGATGAAGGGACCAAACGGGTTCCGAAACGTCGCCATGTTGTGACACCACAGAGGTCAATAAAATATTGACTGAACTTGAGCTGGAGTGCGAGTGACTTCTTCATATTTATACTGATTTGGCACCCACCCGATACTTGAGGGTATTATCCGGCCAGGTGTGCAATGGGTTTCTTTTGATTTTGGGTATGTTAGGCTGCCACACTGCTTAGGCAGTGATTCCGCATCACTCCAACATTAGGAGTGCTACACTGAATCTGGAATTATTTTTTTTGCCTTGAAGAGTACATCCATCTTCACCCCCAATCAGGAAGGAGGCCTGGAATTCACAACCTCTGGAACAGCCTGCTGCTTGATGGATTCAGTGTAGTTGAGCCTAATATGGTCAGCTCATGTGCCAGTGATGAACTAGCTGTCTCTGAAGCTGGAAATGTTCCTACTGAGACAATGCTGTCCTCAGGTCAGAACACAGGATGCACAACGACTAATTAGACTACAGCCAAATATAAACGACAGTATATTAAGCTCATGAAAGATGACCATTAGGTAGAAATGGTCTCATTAACACACTCTCATCCAAACCTCGTCAACTCTTTTCTACTTTTAACTCTTTACTATGTCCTCCACCGCCAATACCCACTAACTAACTCACTCACTGCCCAGGACATTGCCATTCACTTCAAAAACAAAATAGATACAATTCGGGATCAGATCACCTGTGTGCAGTCACCTTCCCCTATTCATGTACCAGACCCTCCATCACACTTGTTACTTTCCTCTTTTGACCCTGCCACCACAGAGGAGGTTACTAAGCTTCTCTCTGACACCCACCTCACCACTTGCCCCCTGGACCCTGTTCCCCTTACCACTACTTCGGTCACCCTCTTGCTTTATCCTACACTCTCTTACTCACATTTTCAATCTCTCACTCTCTACTGGCATCTTTCCCTCCCCTCTGAAGCATGCCCTGGTCACCCCAATACCCACAAAACCCTCTATTGACCGTACCGTCCTCAACAATCTCAGACCAATCACCTTACTCCCATTCACCTCCAAACTCCTGGAGCGCCTTATCTACAGCCGCCTGAGCCGCCACCTCGCTGATAACAACCTTCTCAATCCCTTACAGTCTGGCTTTCGCCCCCTACACTCCACTGAAACCACCCTCCTAAAACTCACCAATGTCCTAATAACAGCTAAAAACAATGGCCACTACACCTTACTCTTGCTATTAGACCTTTCTGCTGCTTTTGACACTGTTGATCACCTGCTCCTCCTCAAAAAACTCCACTCACTTGGCCTACAAGACTCTGCTCTATCATGGTTCTCCTCCTACTTATCTAAGCGCTCCTCTAGTGTCACCTACAAATCTAACTCCTCCCCTCCTCTTCCTGTATGGGTCCCCCAAGGCTCAGTCCTTGGACCCCTTCTCTTCTCTATCTACACCTCCTCCCTTGGTCAGTTAATAACCTCACATGGCTTTCAATACCATCTCTATGCTGATGACACTCAAATATATCTTTCTACTCCACAACTTCCCCCTTCAGTGTCCTTGCGTGTCACTAATCTACTAACTAACATATCAGTCTGGATGTCACAATACTTCTTAAAACTCAACCTTTCAAAAACTGAGCTCTTGATATTTCCTCCTGCCCGTGCACTTTCCCCCAACTTTTCCCTTGAGATTGTTAACACAACTATCCAGCCCTCCCCCCATGCCAAGGTGCTAGATGTCATCCTTGACTCGGACCTCACCTTTCTTCCCCACATCCAATCACTATCCAAATCCTGCCGCCTTCACCTTCGTAACATCTCCAAAATAAGCCCCTTCCTCACCAATGAAACTGCTAAATTACTCATTCATTCACTTGTTATCTCCCGTCTTGACTATTGCAACTCCCCCCTCATTGGCCTTCCACTACACAGGCTATCCCCCCTTCAGTCTATCATGAATTCAGCTGCTAGACTCATTCACCTAACCAATTGCTCAGTGTCTGCAAACCCTGCACTGGCTTCCAATAGCCCAAAGGATAAAGTTCAAAATATTAACAACCACTTACAAAGCCATCCACAACTTTGCCCCCGGCTACATCTCAAACCTTGTCTTAAATACCACCCTAACCGTCCCCTCCACTCTTCAAATGACCTTCTACTCTCCAGCTCCCTCATCAACTCCTCCCATGCTCGCCTCCAGGACTTCACTAGAGTCTCTCCCATCCTATGGAACTCTCTACCCCAACCGGTCCGACTATCTCCCACACGGACTGCCTTTAGGCGATCTCTTAAGACTCATCTCTTCAAGGAAGCCTATCCCACCTCAACCTGACCACTGAACTATCACTTTATCAAACAATTCATCCCCACACAGCTACCTCCTCATGTATCACTTCCCCCTCCCTTTTAGATTGTAAGCCCTCAGGGGCAGGTCCCTCCTTACCATCTTTTCTTGAATTGTATTGTAATTCTAATGTCTTCCTTATATTGTAAAGCGCTGCGCAAACTGTTGGCGCTATATAAATCCTGTATAATAATAATAATAATAAATGTTACACTGCACTAGTAGGGACCCTGCCCAAGCAATCAGTGTAAGGTAAATCTGTTTCATGAGCTTATAGTAGAGTGCCGAATGTAATTTTCTAGGTCTCATGGTAGTACTTCTGCACTGTTTTTAGAAATGTATAATATTGCTACTTTTTATCTATCCTTTAATAAAGTTTCTAAATACTGTGGGTTTTTTTCAACGGCCCCAGAGGGGGCAGTATGCCGGTATTTTCACAGAAAAATACGCATAAAAGTACTTTTTTCAGTCCACTGATATTTGACATTTCCAAATAACTAGCTAAATTCAGCGCTGACTGACTGTGTATTTAAGATGTGACGTTATGCCTGATACAAAGTGACGGAAAGAATACATTCAATAAAGTCTTACCATTTGCAGAGTTATCATACGGATAGCTGGCCACCAAGGCACCACCATGAAAATTAGCAGATAGCACAAAAGTCTCCTCCTTAACCCAGTCAATGATAGCCTTGGTTTCTGGTTGGATCGCAAAAGGGCTATCTGCAAAGGGATCTGGGAAATTTCTGTTCAGGTCAATGCCAGCATCATTATACCTAAACATAAAAAAATAAAAAAAAAGTCAATTTATAAAGAAAAATGAAATTAAAAGGAGAACTATGAGGTGAGTGATTTTCACTCAACCTCATAGTTCGAGCCGACATGTGACAATGAAACTGTCACAGGTCGGCTCAAAAGATCGGGAAGTGAGTGAACACATACCGTCGCTCGCTCACTTCTCAATCATGTCCCTGCACAGAGTGGTGACTGTCGGTCACAGCTCCCTGCAGGGATTCCCCGCTCCTCCAGTGCTGACTGGAACGGACGGGGGAGGGTACAGCTGGTTCTGCCTCTAGGAAGGCAGAGCCAGCTTTCAATCACGCAGCTGGGCGGATCTCGACAGTAATGTCGGGATCCGTCCCAGCTGCGGCGGTCTCAGTATACCGGGAGCTGTAGCTCGCGATATACTGAGCTTTGGGTCACGGGAGGACGCTAGTTTATGTCCCCCCGTGACCCTGAGGAGAACTATGGGGAAAAACACTTACCCCATAGTTCTCCTTTAAGTTCATCAGCTTTAGCTGTAGCTTCAGGACATTTAAAGCCAAGAACAACAAAGTATTATATTGCAGCTAACCAGCAATGCAGGTGGCTGCATTCATTTTCAGGCTAAGAACATTTTCACAAGTACAGCTTATAACTTGATGTGCAATGAACTGAAATAGCAACAATCTTATCAGCCCTTCCAGCTAACTTCTGTGTAGAAGAAACGAGGAGAGAAGGAGATGATTGTAGTCTAAATTAGGAGAGCACCCTAGGGTAAAAAGCTTTTCCTGCATAGACACAGTGGAGCAAGTGAGCGTTGTCAGGAATATATTGGCAGGATCACCAGATAAAAGTAAAGGAATAAAGCTTGAAAAAACAGAAAACTAATGCAGCCACCACAGTTAAAATGGTACCTGTCCCCTTTTCAGGAACGCAGCGCTAATGCATTACAAACAATGACCAATGCACATTACAGTAGTGTGAACAGGGGTGGATTTCCCACAAGGCCCGGCCTCGGGGCAGCAAGGAGTAGAGGGGCAGCAGGGGTGTGGAATTCCTATCTCCCGGTGCAAGTGATGTCGCCGCGATCACTTGTTTGCAGCCTGCAGGTCTGCCATTCTCCATGGGGGGA